GCTCTAAGGAGTATTCTCAGCTGTCTTATTTCATACCTTTTTTAGTCCATTCATAAAATTTTAAACCCAATCATGCATCTTCCCTCTACCTATGCAAAAATCCTGATAATTCCTGCAAAATATTTGTTGCTGTCAACTGAAAATTCTAGTTCTGTCTCAATAAGATCTAGTTACCTGAAAATTTCTCAATCCACCCTCCATTCTAAAATATTCAAGGACTGTAGATTCTCCAGACTGAACTCAAGATGTTATATAATATACAGAACATGCATGTTATGAAAGAAAAGGGCCTTAATTTCTTAACATTGAAATTTTAATTCAGGTTACATTTGCCTGTTAACATCCCTCACTTCTTCCAGTTAAAATGAAAGAGATGCCATCATACTAATCACTCTGTGCTCTCCTGACTCTTCTTCTGTTCCTTTAGTGATCTAGTACTTCTACCAAATACTCTCCTCTGTCAGTTCACTCGTTGAAGCTTAAATGTGCCCACGTTCTTCTCATTCTTTAAAAAAATTTTATTGAATTTTTGTGCATTTCACAAAGAATATCTTAATCAACTTTATACCCCCTTTCTCATTGGCACCCACCTATAGCCCCCCCGAACTTCTTCATACATTCTGTCATTTGTGTTAAGGCCTATCATATCAGGTCTAGTCAGTCTGTCTAGGGTCCCTTCCTTTAAGAAGATCAGCTCTTCCTCAGCCAGCAGTAATGCGCTACCAGTAATTCTATGACTAAGATTGGGGACTGCTGTCCATTTCTATAGTTCTGTGCTATGTTTTTGTCTGCTTGAGTGTTTGTTGGTCTTGTGCATGGTGGCAGCATTGCTGTAGGTTCATATGAGAAGGGTCCCAGGAACCTGTAGGATTCTATTTGCATATGGTCATGACACCGCCTCACTGGTTCTTACAGTCTTCCCACCCCTTCTTCCAGTATGGTCTCTGAACCCTGGGTAGGTAAAGTTTAATATAAGAATCCTGTCTAGAGATCCACACTCTGCTGACTCTTATTCTCTACACTTTGAGCAGGTGTGGCCTTTCATGTTCATCACCCTCTGTTGCAGAGTTGAGAGATGAATTTGTATTCTCTTTACCCCTTTTTACACTATGTTCCATGAGCCTTATAGCGATTCCATTGTAGATGTGTCACTTAAGATTGGGCATCTCACAGACACTTATTCTCTGTGTGTGGCCAGGTGTTAAACTCTGTAATAATGTATGTCTGTTACAAAAGAAGCTTCTCTGATGAGTGGTGACTGTCATACTTGTATGTAATATAAGGATCCCTATTTAGCAGTTAGTAATTACGTTTGTCTATGGAATGCAGCAGCCTTGGGGTTTTCTCTGGGATCTATGACCCCTTCAGGAATGTGTATTTGGCTATGAGTTCCCTCCTAGTGAGTCCAATTAGGTAGCTGTAGATTGCTCCCCAAAGTGCCAATACTGTACAGGTATAGTTTTCTGTGCCAGCCATTGATGTAATTATTAGGCATTAAAACTGATTTTGGACCACTGATTAATTTTCCCTTAGCAGCTTGCAGAATGTCCTCCAAAACTGAGAGGTAGTCTTCAGGGAGGAGGCTTCCAGGTCAGTTCCAGCTCTATTGCTCCAAGTCCTGTGTCCAAAGTATACCCTGTCTTTACCAACAGGGTCTTACCTTTCAGTTCTTGGCGGTAGTCAAGGGCTGTGACAATAGCCTGTGTAAATTTGGAAGTCCTTTTGACTATCCTGACCAACAACGTGAAGGGAGGTTTCTCTTGTCTGGCACTGTATTTCTTGTTATATAGTCTTTAACTATACACATGCTCTCATGTTCAGATATTATATGTGTATTTTTCAGTATGTTTTGAACTAATACATTTCTCTTTGGTTTCTTCTCTCTACCCCCCTGTCTAACCCTCCCTCCTCCTTCCTCAGATAAACTACCCTTATTTCCCCCTTAAAAATACATGTCTCTTATGATCCCCCTCTCTTGAGCTCCTTCTTCCCCTTTATCCCCATGGTTATTTGAATAACCCTCCTTCCCTCCCCCCAGTTAAATATCTCCATTTTATGCATTTTGCCCTTGGTAACACCTATCTCCTTCTATCCCTCTCTCTTTCAGCTCCTTCTTTCCCTTTTTTTCTGTTGTTTCCTTCCATTTTCCTAACTCCTGCAGTTACTTTGGGATATATACTCACATATAACGATTTGGTACTAAGATCCACAAATGGGGGAGAATATATGCCACTTCTTTTTCTGAGTCTGTGTTACTTTCTTAGTATAACACTTTCTAGTTCCAACTATTTACCTACAAATTTCATGATTTTTCCTTTCTTTACTGCTGGGTAGAACTCCATTGTGGTAAAAGTACCACATTTTCATTATCCACTCATAAGTTGAGGAACACTTAGGCTGTTTCCATTTCTTAGCTGTTGTGAAAAGAGCATCAACAAACATTCATGTACATTCATGTAGTACAATGAATATTTTGGGTATATGCCAAGGAGTGATATATAGTAGGCTCAGTTTTAGATTTTTAAAGAGTTCTCCATACTGCTTTCCATAGTTGTTGCACAATTTTGCAATCCCACCAGCAATGAATGAGCATTCACCTTTCCCCACATCCTCACCAGCATTTGTTCTCTTGATCCTAGCCAGTGAGTGGGGTAAGAAGAAATGCAAATAAAATTGGAATTTTTAAGACTATGCTTTTTTTCTTCGGCTCTAAAAACATAGATATTGTTCATTCAAAAGAGATAAATTGACTAGTTTTGTTATTTTTCTGAGATTTTGCATGATGTCAAATATTGCCAAGAAAGACAAAAGTTTAGATGATAATTGTAGAAGTAAGAATGCAAGGGGCCACTGAGATAGTTAAAAGGAACATTTCAATAGATTGTTGGTTCTGGTAAGTTTTAAGGATTATTTGATTTGTGTTATTTAAACAAATTGACTGGAAAGACTGGGATGGTAAGTGTTGAGAATAGGTGACTGCTGAATGCTCAGCCATAGATATCTATATCACCCTCTCCAAAGTTCAGGGAATATTCTGAAAGAAGAGGCTGAAAACGTAAGACTGGAGGTGGGAGGTGGGAAGTGGTTGTAGTGTATGATGTTGACTTTAGGAATGAAGTGGCCATTACACTCTTGAACTCATAGAAGCTGGGATTATCTGCAAAAGATCTACCACAATGCCAACATCCATCATGGAGGGAAGTGGAACTCACAAAGCCTTACTCGTTCCTGAAGATGTATGTGCAGTCAGTGGATGCTGGGAGAGGCAGAGACACTTCAGCAATGTGGTCGCTGGCAAGGTGCCCATGCTCCTATAAACAACGCTTCACCATCCTCCTTTAATCAATCCTAATGAAACCCAGTGAGTCATTAAAAAAAAAAAAACAGGAAAATAGAAGAGGGGCTAGTTGGAAAGAGAAAAGGGATCAGTGTGGGAGTAGGAACAGGCAGAGTCATGAGGATGGTTTTGATCAGAATGTATGATATAGAAGTATGAAAATCTCCTAAACCCATTATATATCTTATACATAATCATATATAAAAGACAAAAATAACTCTCATAAAAGGTCAAACCACAATTTTAGACACATCTTTCCATTTGCTCCAAAACCACAAAGCATTCCATAGAAACTAAACTTAGGAAAATTTCCATTGGTATAATATGTTGTAATTTTTCATTTACTAAATTTTCCACAGTAGCATTTCAGGAGCATTTGTTAAATTTCACCCAAAATGGGCATAATATCTAATAACAACTGATCAATCTAGCAACAAATGTAATTACACAAACACCGTAACCTCGAGTATAAAATAAATTTTTTAAAAAATTTAAAAAAGATTCTTCAAAAAAATTCAAAGATTGTTAACAATGTCACAATAAATATTACATCACTAAAAAAATGAATAGGAGGTATTAATTGGCTAGTCAGTTAGGGTAAAAAGACCCAAAAGAAATGTAGCCAGTTTTTGGAAATAGTCAAAATGTCCTTAGGCCTGTTAGCAAGATACTCTGTTCCAAGGCCAAAAATGTCAAAAGTATTTGGGAGCTTGTATCTAATCCTTAAAAGATTTTAGGGTTAAAAAAAGAGTAGTCTGCAACCCAAAGGATTTTAAAAATCAGAAAGAAATCTTTCTGATGTGATACCTTGCTTCTGTGATTCATGGATGCTAGCTGCTTGCATTTCTGCTGTGAAAGAATGCCTGACATAAGCAATTTAAAAGTAGGGAAGGTTAGTTTTAGCTCTTGGTTTGGAGGGTCACTTCTACAGTTGCTAGGCTTTATTGAGTCTAAGCCTACGATGATCAAAATAGTGAGAGTGTGTAAAGGAAAAGGCTGTTTGCCTCATGGTGGCCAAGTAGTAGAGAGAAGCTAGGAAAGGGTCAGGACAGGGTATAAGTTTCAGAGATGGGGTAGTCTTCACTTTCTACAGTTTCTAGAAATCTCTCAAAATGATATCAACAGAGGATTAAGCTTTCAATCCTTGGTCTAAAATAGGAAATTATCTGATCAAAGAGATGCACATGTAATATAAAGATTGCCAAAGAAAGGGCCATGGACCTAAACTCAGGAGATATGCTTTGGCAATCCAGATCATCCAGGACATTGAGACATTTTTATCCTGGAGTCAAAAGTCAGAAGAACAAAAAACAAAGTAGAAGAAAATGAGTGCATACATGTGTGCTGGGTGTGTAAATGTATATAGGCATAGCTATGCACACAGAATTCTATGTATAAAACAATCATAAAAAGCACTAAGCACTTTTTTCATTTTGCTGTAGCACTTTCTGGGAAATATGATGATTAATTGTATGGCTGCATTCAACTTAAGTGGACTATTAACTAAAAAAGAAAAGCATAGTGGACTATTAACTAAAAAAGAAAAGCATAGTGATGACCACAACATATCTGTAGGAAGAAATATTTGCTAAAGAGTACTGCAAATTAATTGTATATTTAAATTTGAATTCAAATCAGTAAATAATTCTTATCTTTTCTAAAGAGATTTGCCAAGAAACAAGGCTTAAAGATGCTTGCAGAAGAAACAGATCAGCATTCATATCAAAATATCTCATTTTCGTCCTTCTCGGGGAGACTTTGCAGGGAGTAGGAGGAATGCCTATTTATATCCTTGGGACAACCTTCATTGATGACAGCGTTCCCACACACTCGTCTGGCATCTATCTTGGTAAGTTCCTTTTCCCTCTCTTGTGAAGACACATATCTCTACAATGAAAAGGAAAGGTTCTACATTGCCACTTCCTCTCATCCTGGCAGCTAAAGAAGGATGCAAATGCAATGATGTAAAATCATCTTATTGCTCTAGTAACATATTAAAGGAAATATACACAAATGCTGATTTACATTAAATATATCGATTAAAAAGATATAATTGTGTTTATAATTAAATTATCTGAGTTTCTAATAGTTGATTAGATAATGTTATAATACCTGGTCATGCTATCCATTGAGAAAAGTGGATAACCTTCTTGATATAGATAGGCCTCATTACTCAATGTAGAGCCTTAACAACACAGAATAAGGTTCCTGAAGGAATAACAATTCTGCCTCATGACTTTAATATCAACTCTTACATAAATTTCCAATCTTCTGACTGCCCTACAAAATTGGGACTTGCTGGAAACAATTCCAGTAAATTCTTAAAACCTTTCTCTTCCTCTCCCTCCCCCTCCCCCTCCCTCTTCTTTTCACTCTCAGTAATATAGAATGCTGTCAAAAGTTTTCAGAAATAATAAACCTAATTCAGTTGGTTTTCTTCATATGATAAAGTTGGATTGTCAAGCTGTTTCATGCTCTGTATTTATTTCCAAGGTCTTGGGGAAGCTTCAGAAATACTGGGATATGGTTTGGGTTATGCAGCAGGAGCACCACAGCTTAAGGCCTCTACTAATCATCTTTCTAATGTAAAGTAAGTCATCTAATTTCCTTTTCCTTTACATTGTATAAAATATCTGTCAATAACATACTATACCTCATAAACAATGTATATAAATAATTTGTAATAAGGTTAACTTTAGAAAAACATATGCAAATGTGATATGTAAATATATAAACATAAATGCATTTTAAAATGTATATATTTTTACTCTTGAAATATATCTAAAACCATTTTTTATAATGTCAAGCTCATTAATTTTTCATGTTTTGGGTGATAAAAACATGAGTATCTTATTTGTGTTAAGTGTACAGTAAAATGGTGTTAACTATGTGCACACTGATATCTAGAACATTTTCATTCTGTGAATTATAGATCTATATAATCCCCTCTCGCTGACCCCTTATTCATGACAATTGTTGACAACCACTACACTTGGGGCTGTGTAGGACTTAACTCATTTACCTCAACAATCATTGAAAACAGTGATTTACCCATTAACTCTTGTTAATCATGGGTTGGCGTATGACCCTGAGGTTAAAAAATTTGAGGCAGTTCTGACCTGCCTTCTGAACAGAGCACAGAGATTTTGCCAATTAAAGATGTGTATTTTTTGTATATGGGATGCAAAATGCAGAGCCTAAGTGATGAATAAAAGACACCCATATCTTAAAATACAGTGTTTTGGATTTGAATTGAAAATAAAATTTAATTAACATAATCCTATATTTATATAATACATAATCACATTTATTGTATTTTAAGCATTGTTTCTTTTGAGGAAGCAGAGCAAGAAGACAGATAGGACACTCCATTGTCTTCCTTCTGACACATCAATTGAAAAGCTATCCATGCCCCGACCCCTTCACAAGAGCTAAGGAAACCAGGTGAAAGACCATAGGGCATGGTTTTTGTTTAATAGTAAGGAAAGACTCATTAAGGACATAAGGAGGAATGATTTGCTCTTACTTTTATTCCCCCCAAACCTAAGAAATCCAACATAGAGAGACACATTTTCCATTTGGGGGGAGAATTTCAGACCAAACATTTATGTTCTGGTGGAAATGGCAAGTGGAGATAGCAACCTAGTCCTTGAAATTCTCTTTAAGCCAGCATCATTTGTAGCTGACTGCACAGGTCTTAGACCATTTGCCCTTCACAGTCTTAAAAGCCTGTAGTTGTGTAGGCCTTGATCCCATCCCAATGCTGATGTTGGCAGGCTTTTGAGTTCAGGTTGTGACTCAGTGTTATATTTTTGGTGACCACTGCAGTAACCATGCTATTCCTCCCCAAACAGGCATGACAATACAGATAGAGTAGCTATTTGAGGGAAGAAAGGGGAGACTGGTATTCCCTATGATATAGGAAACTCAACTAGTCACTAATGTTTTCGCTCCTAGTTAGGCAAAAGTTCACAGTACCTGACCATAGACTAGTGACTGTAGATGAGGGGCCTTGGTTTACTCTTGTCCCAGAGAAGAACTTGAAGTAGCAGATTACTCTTTTTAGATATGTCCTCAATTTATGCTGTACAATGTATCAACTGAAGATTTGGAATAATCCTCCTTTGGCCTCTAGTGAGGAGAAACCTATATTGTACCAATGGTGGACTCTTGAAAACCCTGAATCTATCTTTCCTAGTGTTTAAATAGCAGAATGACAACAAGCTCAGAGAAAATAAGCACCTTGATTAAAATTTCTGGAAAGCCAATTACAAAGACAGTCGTGTTAAGAAGCCTTGAATGGGGCCAGCAGATGTCTCAGTGGGCAAAGATGCTTGCCACTGAGCCTGAAGGCTTGAGTTTGATCTCTGGACTCACATGGTTGAAAGTACCTACTCCTTCAAGTTGTCCTATGACCTCCACACATATACACACAAAAGCACACCTGTAGAATAAAAAATTAAGTTAAAAAATAACTAAAAAGAAGACTGGATTGGTCTAGTATTTAATGCAAAACTGATGTTTCGCACAAAAACTTGCACTGAAAAACAATCTCAATTACAAGCCAAAATAAGGCAAGAGATTCTGCCCTTATAATAACCAGCATAAGTGAACTCTTGCATAAAAAAGTTAAAACAGCTGTTTTAAGGACCCAGTGGGCTTTAAGAAAATACAGAGGGCTGGTGAAATGGTTCAGCAAGGAAAAGTGCCTGCCATCAAGTCTGATCACCAAGATTCTCATGGTAGAAGAAGAGAATTGACTCCTTTGATTTGTCTTCTGACTTCCCCGCAGACACAAATGCAGATGTATCACACACACACACACACATACACACACACACACACACACACACACAGAGAGAGAGAGAGAGAGAGAGAGAGAGATAGAGAGAGAGAGATTATAAAAATGTAACAATAAAATACAGAAAAATTATTTAATACTCTAGGACAGAAATTTAACATAGAGATGAAAAACAAAAAGAAGGTTTTAGCCTAAGTTGTAAAATACACAAAGTGATATTAAAGCATTCAATAGCAGAGTAGATCAAATGAAAGAAAAACTAATAAGCTTGATGTAAGCTATTTGAAAATGCACAGTTGGTAAAAAAAAAGTTAATGAGGGGGAATAAAAAAAGTTTGTAAGAAGTTCAAGAAATAATTAAAAGAGCAAATATTTGGATTATTGGAATTCAAGAGAGACTTGCAAACGTCAAAGGTATAGAAAGAATATCCAAAGAAATAAAAACCACTAAAATACAAAGGATGCAAATGTTAAGGCACAGAAAGGAGAAATGTCATATTTCAGATTACATTCAGTCAGTCTAAGACATGCTAAATTCAAGCTTTCCAAGATTAAAGGTAAAGAAAACATTCTCAAGGCAAGAATAGAAAAGAAATAAAATGTAAGAGACTCTGGACTTACCTAATATCACACTTCTCAACAGAACTTAAGCTATAGGAGAGTATAATATGATATTTGTAGCATTAAAAAGTATTCTTTAGATTGTTTCAGAAGCCTATAAATATGCAGCAAAGTTATTCTTAGAAATTCAGAAAAATTAAAAATATTTCAAGACAAAGAAAGAAAACTGAGGGAATATACCACAAGCAGATCTTTTCTACAAGAAACACTAGAAGTAGTTGAACATATAAAACAGTAAATACAATTGAGGAAAATAGAAAACTTATATTACAAGCAATTTTGTAAAATTGGAATGCTATGATATACTATTGACAAATGTGTATAAAGCATTCACATTCTTAGACTGAACAATAGAAATTAAGTAATAACATGCTACTATGTTAAATGTAGGTGATACAGAAATATGTTAGGTAGAGTCTGCCTACAAAAATTCAAAATGTGGAATGGCAAGCTTTGATGATAAGTGACAAATTAGAAGTTTCTTCTTTGTCACTCTGTATCTGTAAAGAGTTGGTAACAAAGAGAGTCTATATCATGAGAAGAGAGAAAAAGATCTTCGGGAATCAAGAAAGAGCTAACAGCAGAGCTGTAAGCACAGAAAACTCTTGCCTATGCTTTTATCATGGAGTATCTTCCTTAAAGTTTCTTCTGGTAGTTTCAGATTTTCAGGTCTTGCAGTAAGGACTTTAACCCATTTTAATTGATTTTTTTAGGAAAAGAGAAAAAGGATCAGTTTCTTTCTTCTACATATGGATATCTACTTTTCCCAGAACAACTTTTTTAAGAGTTGTCTTCTTCAACATACTTTGCCCTGTGTCCAAAATTTGATGGCTGTTGTTTCTCTGTCATCTATTCTATCCCCACAGTTTAGATTTCTGTTTCTGCACCACTGCCACACAGTTTTTGTTACTGTGAATCTATGGTACTATTTGAAGTGAGGTACTGTGCTATCTCCAACATTGCTTTTTTCCCCCTCAGGAACTCTTTAGCTATTCGGAGACCTTTGTTTCTCCATCTAAATTTCAGGACTTTTTCCTAGTTTTGTGAAGAATGTCTTTGAAGTTTGAAAAGTATTGCATAGAAACTATGGAAAACCTTCAGAAGCATAACAATTTTCCTGATACTAATTTTACTAATTCATAAACCTGGAAAGTCATTCCATCTTCTAGTGTCATCTTTTGTGTCTTTCCTCCAGTGTCTGATAGTTTTTACCTTCTAGTGTTTTATGCATTTCATTACAGTGGAATTTTAACTTTATCACTAGGTTTTTCCTAGGTACTTTATTATATTTTTGATACAACAGTGAACAAGATTATTTTCTTGATTTCTCACTCAGTATGTTTATTACTGGTTCTAGGAAAGTTGATGCCAATTTTGTATTCTGCTTCTTTGCCCATTATGTTTATTATCAGCTCTAGGTTTTCTGGTGGAGTCTTTAGGGTCTTTTAAGTATAGTGTCTTATCATCTTTAAATATAATTTACTTCTTTGTTTCCTATTTGTCCCTTTTTTCTCTTCTTTTTTCTCTCATCTCATTGCTCTGGCGAAGACTTCAAGCATTCTGTTGATTAAAACTGCAGAGACTGTGCATTCATTTCTCCTTGACTGTGGGGGAAATGCTTTCAGATTTTCTTAAATTAGTGGAATGTTGGCTATAGATGTGGCATATGTCCTCTATCATATTGAAGCATGATCCTTCTGTTCCTAGTTACTTTAGGGTTTCTAATTATAAAGAGGTGTTGAATTTTTCCCAAGGCTCTTTTTGCATCTATTGAGATGGTTATGTGAATTTTGTCTTTGATTCTATTTATGGGTTATCTTAAAATTGTTTCTAGTAATAACAAAATTCATAAATTAAATTTCCCCATAATTATAGGTTTTTTTGTTTATATTCTAGTCTTTACTCTGGTTTATGTTTCTATTTCCAGTTAAAACTACATTTATAAATTTGTGAAATTTTATTGTATATTTTACTAATTTCATCTAGCACCCCTCACATACTTTTTTTAAAATTTAGACCTTCTCCCCAATCCCTGATCCCCCACCAGACCTCATGTATTATGCTGTATATATTAAGTCCTATCCAGTCAAGCATATTTACCCAGATGTCCTTCGGTGCAAATTCATTCACTGGAGGCTAGTCAGCCTATCTAGAGATCCTTGGTAAGGCCTATTCTCCCTCACCCAGTAGTAATCAATCTCTAATAGTTCCCAGACCCATCACCCTTTCCCCTAGCTCTACTCTGGGCCCTTGTCCAATTGAGTTGGCATGTGTGCTGTGCTCCATGACACCAATGCCACAAGTTCACATGTGCAAGCTTCCAGTGGCCTGAAAGCCTGTGCTTCCCTATGTTCATGGACCAACCCTGGCTCTTACAACCTTCTGCCCCCTCTTCTACAATGGTCCCTGAGCCGTGAGTGGGAGAGATTTGATATAGGAGTCTTATCCAGGGACACACACTCTGCAGTCTCTTATTCTATAAGATTGGCCAGCTGCAGCCTTTTGTATGCATCACACTCTGTTGTATAAGGAAGCTTTGATGGTAAGAGTTGAGGGGTGCACTGTTACCCCCCCCCATTCTGCTGTGTTCCATAAGTCTTAGGTGTAGAGTTTCCACTGTAGATATGTCACCTAGGACTGGGGATCTCTCAGATGTATATTCTCTGTGTTTGATCAGTTGTGTCATTCTGCAGTAGCCTCTATCTGTTACAAAAGGAAGCTTCCTTGAAGAGTGACAATGGTCTGTAAATATAAGGATTCATATGCAGCATATGGTAAGAAATTTCCTTTGTCTAGAGATATGACAGAGATAGGATTTTCTGTACGCTCTATGATTTCTCCAGCGTATTTGGCTGTGTTTACAGTGCTACCTGTGAGTTTGCTTCCACTGCAAGGGCTTTAAGTTCCAAAAGACAGCTGTTGATTACTCCCCAGATAACAGTGCCACTAGTGCATCAATAGAGGTAGTTCGCTGTGCTGGTCCTTATGTTTTAGGGCTAGGTTGGACCATTGATGGATTTTCTCCCTGAGCATCTCACATACTATCCTTCAGAACTATGAGAGCTAAACTTAAGGTAGAAGGTTTCCAGGTCCGTTCCTACTCCATTGCTCCAAGTCCTGTGTCTGAAGTATGTCCTAACTTCAGTAGTACAGTTTTATTGTCCAGTTCCTAGAGAAAATTGAGAGCTCTGGCAATAGCTTTTGTTGTTTTGGAAATCTCTTGGACTACTCTGACCAACCATTCAAAGGGAGGTCTCTCCTGTTTGGCATTGTGCTCCTCGCCATACAGCCCCTAGGTATACACATGCAGTAATGTTCAGACACCGTATGTGCATATCTCAGGGGGTTTAAGAGGCAACACATTTCCCTCTGGCTTCCATATCCTCCCCCCCAAGATCCACTCATCTCTAGTCTCTCTCTCTCATCATTTAAACTCCCTCCTCCCTCCCCAGTCCATGGTCCTCATTATCCTCTCTCTTCCCCCAATAACACAGGCCTCCTGCCATACCCTCTCTCCTGATTTCCTTCCTCCCCCATTGTGGCCCCCTGGATGTCCCTCCCTCCTCCCCTCCCAGCCAAACACTCCCAAATTCCCCACCTCTCCCCTGGTAACATCTGATCCCTACTAGCCCTCTCTTTCAGGTTCTTTCTTTTCCTTTACCTCCATTTTCCTGGTTCCTGGTGTTACATCAGGATATATACTCACATAGAAGGGATTGGTGTTATGATCCACAAGTGAGGTAGAACCTTTGTTGCTTGCTTTTTTGTATTATTTCACTTGGTATAAAAGTCTCTAGTTCCATCCATTTATCTGCAAATTTCTTCTTTTCTTTCTGCTGAGTAGAACTCCATTGTGTAGATGTATCACATTTTCATCATCCAGTCATCACTTGAGGGAAATTTAGGTTTCCATTTCTTAGCTATTGTGAAGAAAATAGCAAGTAATATGGATGTACAGGAATCTCTACAGTAGATTGGGTACTTTGAGTATATACCAAGGTGTGGTAAAACAGATCATAATGGTAGATTTATTTTAGCTTTCTGAGAGTTCTCCACACTGTTTTCTGTAGTGATTGCACAAGTTTGCCTTCCCACCAGCAGTTCTTTCTCCACATCCTTGCCACCATTTGGTGTTTTTTATTCTCTTGATCTTAGCCAGCCTGACTGGGGTGAGATGGAATCTTAAAGTGGTTTTTATCTGTATTTCTCTAATTACCATGGATGTTGAGCACTTTTTAAGGTGCTTCTTAGCCACTTCTATTTCTTCTTTTTAGAACTCTTTGTTCAGGTCTAAAGCCCATCTTTTTATCGGGTCGTTTATTTTCTTACTTCTTTGTTTTTTGAGTTTTTTGCACATTCTGGAAATTAGTCCTTTGTCAGATGTGTAGCTGGTAAAGATTTTCTCCCACTCAGTGGGTTTCTTCTTCCTTTCCTTGGTTGTATCTTTTGCTCTACAGAAGCGTTGTAACTTAGTGGGGTTGCACTTATTGATTGTTGATCTTAATGCCTGAGAAAGTGATATCTAATTTAGAAAGTCCTTTCCTATGCCAGTATCTCGGAGGGTACTCCCTATGTTTTATTCTAGCAGTGTCAGAGTTTCAGGTTTTAAATTCAGGCCTTTGATCCATTTGGAGTTGACCTTTGTGCAGGGTGAAATATAAGGGCCCAATTCTTCTACAGGTGGAGATCCATGTTTACCGACATCATTTGTTGAAGATGCTTTTTCCTCCATTGTGTGTTCTTGGCACAGTTGTCACATATAAGGTGAAATTGCATGTACTCATGTTTGGGTCTTCTACTGTGTTCCATTAATTTCTGTGTCTATTTTTGTGTCAGTAACATGCTGTTTTTATGACTATGGCTCTGTACTATAATCTGAGATCTGGTATTGTAATGCCCCCAGTGTTGTTCTTTTTGCCCAAGATTGCTTTAGCTATCTGAGGTCTCTTCATCACCTACTTATTGATTGGTCTTTATTAAATATCAAGGTGTATTTTCACAAATTGCTCTTTCAGGTAAATTTGGTAATCTGATAATAATCAAGGCACTTACATTTGCATTAAATTTGTGTGTGAACTTGGGAAATTTTTATCTTTCTACAAGTGAAAACAGCATACTGTACTATTTTTTCTCATCCCTCTGTGCTCCTCAAAAGTTTTATTACAGTCTTTATTAAGTATGTACCAGAGAAGCAATGCTTGGTAATTTCAAACACTTTGTTAAATGTTGTACAATGTAATTATTACAACATTTAGTTTTCTGATCTAGTATTTCTAACATGAGAAAAATCTTTTTATTTCAAAATATATTTGGTAAAAATGATCACCTGTCAAATTTTTGTTCATTTTTCAAAGTTTGGTTTTGCATTTAGTTGTTGTCTCAGCTTTTCTAGATATACAGTTACACACGCACGCACATTTGAAATATGTGTCATATGTTATATAATATGCATACAATATATAACTGGATTGAAAATGAATAAAACATCTGCATATTATAAGCATCAATGAGCCAGAGGCAGAGATGCATACATGTAATTCCAAGTGTTTTTGAGATTGATGCCAGGTTGTGCAACAGATAGTGACAGAGACCTTGCTAAGCAAGTTCAAGGCTCTGAGTTCAATCCTTAGTAATGAATAGATAACGAAGTCATAAATGGATAAATAAGAGAGAAAAATGCAGCTCCTGTGAATGTTGCATATTAAGATATGACAAATGGATAGTAGATGTGAAGAATCCACAGTAGTATTCACTGTGGATTGATACCACAGTGGATAAGGAGTTGTCCCACCAGTGAATAACACTGAATATTTGGACATTTTTTGTACAAAAGATCTATGAACTAGTACTCATGATGTCTTGTGGCATCAGAGTCACATGAGTGAAAAATCACATCCAAAATAGGTTCATGTAGGTGTAGGCATTTTTCCCACAATGGCTAGTTGGTGGAGCTGAAACCATTAATAACTGAGTATTCATCAACCTCCCTAAATGATATGAAATAAATTAGTAACTATGAAAATTCTCTACAAGATGGCCTGAGTATTATTTAAAGACAGAAGATGCTGATACTTAGTCACTCTATGAAAAAGAGAAAACGAACAAATTCCAGCAGGGGGTCTTTCCCATTCCCACCCTGTCTTGCCTACGGGGAGGAGCAAAGGCAGCACAAGGAAACCTTTAGGAGAAAGCGAAATACAGACTAGCAAAAGGGCCTACAGAAAAATTGGAGAGATCATCAAAAGGATCAAATCACACTAAAACAGAAGGGAACTGAAACAAGAGGTTTCAAACTGCATGTAATTTAAAGGGAAAGATGCTATGGAAAAGATCAATTGTGCAACTTAAAGTTCTAGGCTTCTTGCCATAAAACTCCAGGCACATGATTTAAAGGAGTAGGAATGATTTTACAGGGGAGGTAAGACTTGATTTTCCAAATGCACAATTTCTAGTGATGAAAAATTGAAATAGGAACAAACAGGAACATTTGCTTCCTACTCCAGCAGTATCACTGGAAAAGAAAGCAGAAATATTAGGCACCTACAAGACCTAAAATAACGTATAATTGAATATTAACAACTAACCATTGTCAGTAAAACTAAAAGTTAATAGTGATAAATTACAAATTAATGCAAATTAACAGAAAATATTTCACTCTCACTCTCTCCTATTGTGTTTTCTAAAAGTAAAATTTCCCTAAATTGAATTTCTTCTTTCTCTCTTCAAGTGAAACAACACATGACAGTCAAAAGCAGCCGGTCTCTTGGTTGATTACCTTTATTATTTCATCTATCCTTGCCTGGTGTACATTTATACCATTCTTATTTTTTCCACATTCCCTACCAGGTAAGTAAAGAAACCTAATTCATCTTAGTAATTCACACCCACATTACCCATTCTCAAAACATGAATAAGCTACATTCTTTATGAATATGCTTCTTTTACTGTTATTGCTCTATAACAGAGAAGTAGCATCACCATAACGGCAGAGAGAATGTACTCAAGAAAACTGTAGCGGAAAATCTCCCAAATCTAGATAAAGAAATAGATGGTCAAATGCAAGAAACATTTAAAACCTATACAAGCGTGGTAAGAGAAGAACCTTCCAATAACATGTAGTCAAAATTTCAGAAATACAGACCAAAGAACAATATTAAAAGCTGCAAATGAAAATTAACAACTCAGCTACAAAGTCAGATGCACTAGAACTACATTGTGTTTCTCATGCACAAATCCTAAGAGCCAGGAAATAATAAAGTGGTATGTTTCAACTCGTAAAAGTAAGTAGCTGCCCATTAAGATGGTTATATCCCACAAAGCTATCTTTGAACACTGCTGGAGAAATGGGGACATTTCAATATTAGCACAAAGAGGCCCTTTATGTCTGCCAACCCAGCACTTCAGAAAATACCTCAAGAAATACTATGGACAGAAGAGGAAGAAAGACAGTATTAACGATGAGAATACAGGAAAAAATACACTTCATGGGAGGAATAAATGAACAAAGGAGAGCTTGGAAGAAATCCATATGTTTAGCCCAGTAAACCAGAAAACTCCTAATATTTATAAAAGAACAAAACAATCAGTTGTACAATTGATCAGAAAAGCAACCAACCAAAGTATAGGAGCAGTAAATATCTCTTTATAATAACCTTAAATTTAAATGTTTCTCACTCACATATAAAGAAATGCAGACTGAGTGGCTAGAGTTTTAAAAAACTAGGTAAAATTATCTTGTTTAGAGGCTGGAGAAATGGCTCAGCAGTGAAGAACACTGGTTGCTCTTTCATAGGACCAGGGTCAGAGTTTGGTTCCCAGCACACACATGGCAGCTAGCAAGCAACCATCTGTAACTAACTCCAGTTCTAGGGTATCTGACGTCATCCAACAAATATAGAACACAAATTTTTCTCAGCATCTCATAAAACATCTTTCAAACAGAGCACATTCTAAGCCAAAACATAGTCTAGGTAATAATTCGAGTCTTAAACATTAAAGGATGAAAATTTTTTATATGTTATCCAAAAATAGTGACATAAAACTAGAAATCAATAGCAATAAAAACTACGGAAACAGTGGGGCATAGTGACACTTGCCTTAATCGCAGGGCTCTGGAGGCAGAGGCAGTTGGATTTCTGTGAAATCAAAACCAGCAAGGGATGGTCTACAAAGTGTGTTCTAGGTCAGCTAGGACAACATAGTGAAACCCTGTCTCAAAAAATCCAAATCAAACAAAAGCAAACAAACAAAAAACTGTAGAAGCTACACAAATACTTGGAGTCAGAAAAAAAATGTATACTTGAATAACCAGTGAGTTAGTTACTGATGAAATTACAGAGAATTATTTTAAAAATTCATAGAATCAAATGAAAATGAATCATGAAAACACAGTATACCAGAACATTTGGAGTACAGTCCAACTAGCTCTAAGAGGAAAGTTCACAATTATCAGAACCTAAATTAAAAACTCAGAGACCTCAAATAATCTACTAATGATATAACTCAATATCTTATAAAAACCAAGAATAAACAAAATGCAAAATCAATAGATGGCAAAATTTATGAAACATGGGATAGAAATTAATGAAATAAATTCTAAAAAGTCAGTCCATAGAATCAAAGAGTTTATTTGAAAAAAAATAACCTAAAATGTAGCTAAACTAATAAGAGATTTTCTAAATTAATGGTATTAGACACAAAAAGGGAATATTACAAAAGATTGTAATAAAATACAGAGGATCATTGGGGAATATATTTATTCTAGTTCCTTTCAATTGCTGTGATAAAACCACTGACCAAAATCAACTTGGCGAGGAAAGGGTTTATTTCATCTCATATTTCCCAAGTTACAGTTCATCTTTGAGGTAAGCTAAGGCAAATACTCAGGGCAGGAATCTGGAGCACAGACCTTAGAGGTATGCTGCTTACTGGCTTGCTCCTTTGACCTGTGCTCAGATCACCTGCCCAGGGGTGGCACTGCCCACAGTGGGCTGGGCCCTCTCACATCATTCAACAATCAAGAAAACGCCCCACAGACATGGCCACAGGCCAGTTCAATGTAGGCAGTTCTTCAATTGCTATTCACTCTACCCAGGTGCGTCAAGTTGACAACTAAAACTATCCAACACAATATTCCAAACTTGTACTTCTAAAACTGGAAAATCTAGAAGAAGCCCGTGTATTCCTAGACACATATGACCTACATATAGGTATGAGGAACTAACTTTTAATCCAACCAATCTAACACCAATGATGCTAAAACACTACAAAGCTCATTTTGTGGAGTCATTATTGCCTTGATAGCCAAAGTGTCATAAGGACACATTAGAGTATAAAACTATGGGCTAATTTCTCTGAAGAATATAGATACAAAAATTCTCAGTAAAATTCCTGGTAATTGTACCCAAGAATATATTAAAATCATGTACTTTGACTAAGTTGGTTTTATTCCATGCCAGAATGCTTCAACATACACAAATCAATGAATGCAATATGGCATGTAAACAGGCTTAAGGACCAAAATCATGTGACCATTTCAGTAGCTGCAGAAAAAGCCTTTGACAAAGATCATTGCCCATTCTTAATAAAATTCCTAAAGAATTTAGGAATAAATGGAACATAAACCTCAAAATTATTAATATATATGACCAGCCTGCAGTCAACATTATAACAAATGAGGAAACCTGAGATCGTTTCCCCTAAAATCTGAAATGAGGCAAGGCTGCCTGCTCTCTGCTCTTATTTACAATAATGGTCAAAGTTTTAGTAAAAAAGAAATAACAAAGAAATGGAAGGGATACAAACAGGAAAGAAACAGGTCAAATTATCACTGCTTGCAGATGACATGATCTTATAGTAATACAAATCAAAAGATGCCATGAGAAAATTCTTAGACATGATGAACACTTTAAACAAATCAACACGCAAAATCAGTACTTTTTCTATATGTTAATAACAAACTCACTAAGAAATCAGTGGGGAAATTATCACATTAACAAAAGTGCCAGTAAAAATAAAATACCTAGGAATAAACCAAAGTAAGGAAAAAATCTTTCTCCAATTAAATCTTTAAGACACTGAAGAAGCTTAAGAAGATGCAAAAGTGGGAAACTTACCAAGACTATGGATTAGTAGAATTAATTCATGAAAATGGCGATATTACTGAAAGCAATCAACAGAGTCAATGCAATCTCCATCAAAACACCAATGATTTTCCTCACAGAACTAGAATAAACAATTCTAAAATTCATATGGAAACACAGAAGATCCCTTCTCCTAAATAGTCAAAAAATCCCAAGCAATAGAACAATAATGAAGGCATCACATTGGGTCTCAATATATTACACATCCATAACAACAAAAATGGCATAATACTGGCACAAAGACAAATGTATAGACCAAGCAAATAGAATGGAGAATCCTCTCAACTCCAGACATTAATTCTTTAGGTGACGAAAAAAAATTTGTTGGGAAAAAAAGGTGGTTTCTTCAGTATATGCTGCTATGAAAACTAGATAGTCACATTTTTACAAAGGAAATTAGATCCATATCTCCCACCCTGCAGAAAACTCAATGCAAAATGTTCAGATATTAATGTAAGATTGAAACTTTGAATCTGCTGCCAGGATACAAGGCAAAAACACTCCAAAAATAGGCCTAGGCAAGAACCTTCTGTAAAAGACTATAATAGCACAGAAAATAATTACAGCTCTTGATCAACAGGCATGAAATTAAGAAGCATCTTCAGAATAAAGGAAACCATCAGCTGAGTGAAGGAGACGGCCTACAGAATGAGAAAACAAACTACCAACTATACAGTTGCCAGAGTATACCTACTAGACTCTATAAAGATTTCAAATATTAAACACCAAATATATCAAATCAATAAATGGGTGAATGAATTAAAAAGGTAGTTTTTAAAGAAATGCAAATTAACAATAAATGCTTGGAAAGTATTCAAAATCTTTCCCATCAAGGAAATGCAAAATAAAACTGCTTTGAGATTCCATTTTACTCAAATCATAATGACTATCATCAAGAAAACAGATTTCTTGTGAGGACTGGAAAGAAAAACCCTTATTATCAGCTGATGGAAATGTAAACTTGTGTAGTCATGATGGAAACCACCATGGATATTCCTCAAAAAACTGAAAATAAAACTGCAGTTTGACCTAGCTATATGATTCTTGGGGATATCTATCTATGTATCATCTATCTATCTATCTATCTATCTATCTATCTATCTATCTATCTATCTA